AAAACATTTGTGGCCATAGAAAGGTTTTAACTCTATGTATACAGTAGGGTCCAAAAGTCTGAGACCACCGGTGAAAAATGATTCCATTTTGCATTCTTTTCTAATTTAATACAATGTTTTTCATTGGAAATTACATTATCAGCATAACAATTTGAGTGAAAAGTAGAACCTTTGAATGTTTACATGAATTTTAGAAGTTCTTTGTATTTGGTATGCTCCTCCTTTTGTCCTTTTGCTTTATTGACTGTGTGCACTCAAGCTCTCATGGACTCTATATGTTTCAATGGAAGGAATAAGACTAAAGACTAAGACTAAAAAAATATTCTGACCTTCTTTGCGTGAAGGCCTTAACATGTTAAATTTCACAAATTTTCTTCAGTCTGAACAATGAAAATAGTGCAAAAATATTTCTTCTTCATTTTAATTGTCATAACTTTTTTAAAGTTTCAAAATGTTCAAGATTCTAAAACTTTCTGCTGTTTATTTGTTTAAATGTAAAAAAATTCACTGCGCTCTCTGGCCTTTGGACTCCACCATACATGCAGTCCAGACTGTATTTATATGTTAGTGCATTGAATGAATCAGGTGGACATTACTTTCTCACATGTTTTCAGTGTAAGATCTCTGATAAACAGTGAAGCTTTTACAGCTGTACACATACATGAACTGGAGCCAGACTGATATGCAGATTGTATAACAGCGATACTGAGCTAAAAATTCAGAAAACCAAACATATAATTTTATATTTCAGATTTTACTTTCATAATCCAGTGGTTTTGACAGACATCATTTCCAGTTCTCAACTGTCACACTTCTTAAACTCCAATAAACAGGAACACACTGTTTTAAATAATGCTACTCAGAATTCTTAGCAGTTTGATTTCTTCTTATAAACTCTTACATACAATCTTGTGAAAAAAAGTACACCCCTTAAAATGCTTTTTTTTTTTTTGGACATGTGTAGATATATCAGTGTTGGGTCTTAAAAAGCACAAACAAAATATCAAAATAGCTCAAACAGTTTGCATCGGAGCAATAATAAGCATTAGTATGTAATAACCCTGGCTTAAATTTTTTGACAGATGGCCTCACAGTCTTCTCAAGCACCCTCTGGTGGGAAATGTTCATGATTGATTTTATGATTATAATGCATGCAATGTGACATGAACAGTGGAATGATACATTTGAAATAGTGATGTGTTAGGGTGTACTTACTTTTTCCACATAAGAAAACTGCATTTGCAATCATTTATTAAAAAGTAATAAAAACAGAGCTTTTTTTGTTTGTTTTTTTTGAAAAAGTAAGTACACCCCTGGCTTCAGGTTTGAGAGGTTTCTTGCAAGTATATCTCATTTAAAATAAATAGGATTATAAAGGTATATAAAGTATGACAAAATGTTAATTTCATAATTAATGTCATAAATTATTTGTGAATTAGTTCTCTTAGATTTCATTAGATTAGATTAGATTAGATTAGATTAGATTAGATCATGTACTGACTCTGACAGTTATGTTTGGATTTTTTTTTTTTTTACATTTATCAGAATTCCGACTCCCCTTCATGTTCACATGCGTCAGATTTGAGGTTACATTTCTGTTGACTCTATTCATAAACATGTATCTTCAGTTCAAAAAATCTAAATTTAAAGTTATCTGTAACAATTTTGCTAAACTGTGAGATCATGAAAATCAATCAGATCAGGTGTATCTAAAGTGTGTTTGTATGCAGTATCTAGTGACAGCATGTTCTTCATCTTGGAGCACAGTGGCAGTACTCAACTCTTTGACCTCTCTATCTCAGCCACATTTCCCCCATCAGTGCAGCTGAGTCCGAATCCACACAGCTAGGTCTCACAAGTCTAACACACACACACACACACACACACACACACACACACACACACACACACACACAAAGACAAAACGGTCAAACTGACAAAACCTCTGCAGTTGGACTACATCTATGACAGTGACCTTTCTGTCCAGCAACAGATACAAAGACTACAGACTACATCTTTAAATTGGAGAAAAAGAAAGAGAGTTTAAAAGAGGGAGATGAAGAGAGAAAGAAAGGAGAGGCAACATGAAAAAACATAAGCACAGAGCTAGTCGGTTCTGAGCTGGATGAACGTGAGGATTGTTAATTGTGGAGATGCAGGATGGTCAGACAGTGTGGTCACCAACAGCTGTCCACACTGGAAACAGCTGGAGAGAACAGTGCTAATCTTCATTGTTTGCTTTAAGTGTGGGCTAAAGTAGTGTGGCTCCCTCTAGTGCCCACAGAGCTGTCTACAACACGAAGTCCTAACTTTTCACCAGATGAAAGCAATGAAACAAAAGCACTTCCCAAAATAAACTATGATGTAATTTGTGAGGTCAATTTAAAAAGTGTATTTAGATGTCTTGATTCTACCTATTGATCGCATCATTTCCAATGACTATCTGTCATTATCAACAATCAATCAGTTTATCAAGCAAGCAGTATGCTACTTTACTAGATAGCCAGTTTTGCAGTTCCAACCATTTTTATGGTGCACTATTCTGTCTATGTTTCATTATATACCAAACATTATGACATTAATTTGGAGGATGTGGGATGATTTATATAAACAAAAATAAGCTGTGTCAGAATCTAATACTTTCTGCACCCCAGCTTAAACACTTGACTGGAAAATAACAAGACAGGACAATGAATAAACAATAAAAGCGCAAATTAACAACACAGCATGAAATTAAAAACCAATGAACCAGAGAGCCTCAACTGTTTGTCCATTCAGTCTCATGAGAACATACAATATTAATTAAAATTAATAAATGTATGCAGTCCATTCAGTAGAACAATACAATATGGCTGTTTGCATTACCGTTACATTGCACCAGGTCTCCTTAGAACTTACTTGCATCTATTCAGGCAGCTCTTGATGCATTGCATCCAATGTAAACATGAAAAACTGAAGTCACCTGTAACATCTGATTTCTCCAGTATGGCCATTTTGATTCCTCTGCTATGAGATGAGTGAGTTCCCTGGACAACAAAAACAATAACAGCAAACAAAAAAGGGTCTTGTATCATCTATCCACTGTCCATGAGTACTTCCAGCATTACTGTATGGATAGTTAATTATTGCTGCCCCCAAATTTTGTCAAATTCACCCTGAAAACTGATTTTGTGTGATGAAAGTACTTAACTTAACAGACTTAACTATAAGGACTTCAGCTGTATTCTTATTTTACACCTGATGTTACCTGATAATTCTAGCTGAAGTGGTTGATGTGGCCCAGTAGGCTAATGGGTAGGGCATCAGCCAGAGCTGGTGGTTCTAGTTTCAAGTCCCACCTGAGTTCGTTGTTCGGCAGCTATACTGCAGTTTGGTCTATTATCCTTTCATCAGACTAAGTTGTCACATGATCTACATATTACAGTACAACACTCTGAAAGCAAAAAGAAGGGCAAGTATTTCAGTAGGTGCCACTGCAGCAATAGAAATACGATCATACATGTTACACTGGCTTCAATTCATTAGTTTGGTATATGTGCTTTTTTAAACACTATTTCTGAGCAGAATTGTCCTGTCTTCTTTTATGAATTCCACACTCTGTAATTTCTCTGTAATTTTGTGTTACGCTGTTGTTACTTCATATGTGACTGCAGTCTGTTACACTCTATTCTTTAATGTTTAACGGTTACTTTCATAGCATAATGTTTAACATCTCAGTATTAGTTGTGAGCCCTCTAATTGATCTAATGGATAAAGCATCAGCCTCCAGAGCTAGGGATTGTGGGTTCAAGTCCCACGTGGGTTGTTGTTTACACAGCTTTAATTAGGGTTTCTCAGGTCAGGCATGTGTTTCTAAGTTAGTTTCCTAGACCCATATTAAGAACTAAAAATTCACCTCTTTGATGCTGGCATCAAGACATGCCACTCCACCAAACAGCAGCATACATATTTAGGTTAGACTGTGAATTTAAGATTTTTATTTAAATAATGAATATCATGTTGCTGTGTGTGAAGGGTCTGTTTGAAAACAGTTATCATGTTTGAGATGAATTATGAACAAGAGGGAGATAAACAGATGTCAGTTCTGTCTGTGTAGCGTTGATGGAAGCTAATTAGGGAGGTCTGTTGTTAAGAAATTAGATCTTTCTGTGAGTTATAGGTATGCAAAAGTGTCAGTATCTGCAAAGATTACCAGGCCCCTCTGTGCCATGGGCTTTGTGACAACCATTCATGATGGCTGTTGTTTTGTAGGCTGTTGTTTTGTGCTTTGTGCTTCTTCAGGTGCCAAGATGCCTGAAGTGTGTTCCTGCTGAAGGCCGTTGCAGAGGTCATAAGTACCTGCTGTGCCCATCAAAGGGGGCTTGGTGGAGTCACACACATTCCTCAAAGACCCTCTTATGTTGACTGTTGGTGCCCAAATGTCATCTGTTTAGTCATCAAAATCAAGTTTTCTTGTGTTTAAGAGACCGATCATGGCGGTATTGACAGTTTTGATTTTACATTAATGAATTAAAATCACACAGTTAATTAATTTGATTTAGATGTAATCTGCTTTAAAGACATTAAAAGCTTTACTATCATTGAAGCTTCTTTAGTGTGTCTGTTGAGAGACAACAGTAACACACTTCAGATGCAAATACCACATCTGGAATCAGCTCAACCTTCTGTTAGTTCCCTTGTACATAAACTAATGATGCAGTGATATACAGATGGCCAGTAAACAGATGAGTAGCCAGTTGTCCCAAAAATAGGCTGTAATCCTCTAATTCACTCCTGAATGAAACACTCTAATATAAGTTTACAGCACGCGTTTTTAACACACTTTTACACTTGAAGTCCAACGTGCGTCATATTTCTACTACAGCAGGTGGCGCTGCAGCCATACAATTATCTTCATTGTGATTTCGTTGACACCTTCACTGCACTGTCTATTGCACTTAATCAAGTCGCCCTCTTTATTGAGTCTCAGGCTTATTCCCAGTATTTCTACTGTTTAATATTTGTCTGAGAGTTTCTGTATTTACTGCTTGTTGTTTCTCTGTAGGCTACTGTCAGTTTCATAAATTCCTGGGAAACGTTGGGCTATTGAATTCCTGTTGTACTCACGTGGGGATCGGACATATGACAAAGAGGTGGACTTTAGTTTTCGCTTATACGTGTTTGCCACTCTTGAAGAACTCAAAGAGAAACTCTTCTGTACACAATCATGAGTTGCAACGCAGTGACGCAGTGAGTTGCAAAGCATCTGCCTGTCTGGGCACGGCATCAACCCCCTTCTTAAAGCTTCAGTTAACGACGCTATTTTCTTTTAAAAAACGAAACCAAGAGAGCTGAACCGGTATGTAAAAGTAAACTGCATTTCTTCTTTACAGCTGTTTTTTTTTCCAATCACTTAGTAGTAAAAGTAGGAGTAGATGTGTCGAAACGGTTTTAGGTAGCTTTTAGGTAACTGAATGTTTTAGTGAGGGGCGATTAAGAGCTGTGGAGTCGTTGTTGGCTGGTGTGTTAGACTGAGTAACTTTGTGGTTATGTAGCTAGCTACATGTTGTGATGATGTACTCCATATTTCAAGATCAGTATCACTACAAGGGTCGCATCTAGAGGGCCAGAGTGTGATCACTGTAAAAATGATGCAGCTATTACGCTTCAATAAAATTAACCTGATTAACTGCATGATTTTGTACAGTATACAGTGACATCATATATGTTCTGTTGTACTTTGGAAACCTATAGTGCTGCACGACACCCCATTTAAGATTTTCTTTTTGTGTGCTATCCCAGCCGGCATACCGACATTAATTCAGGGCTGGTACGTCGTTGATCAAGGTTGAATTGGCGTTGAAATCGCGACGTTGTTTCAGCACTGAAACTCCCAGATAGCAAAAATCAGTCGTGCCACATGTAGGCCGAATAGTGCACGTCGAGCCAGAACCTCATCGGCCGAGACTTCGGTCTGAATCTAGGCCATGGATGCACATCTCCGGTCCTGGACGGCTGGTGTCCAGCACAGTTTGGTAGGTGTCCCACTCAAACACACCCACTAAACCTGGCAATTGATAGATTAGTTGAATCAGGTGTGTTTGATCAGGTAAATCATCAAACTGTGCTGGACACTGGAGCATAGCATTTGCTCAGATGTGGCCTAACATTCACATTTATTCAAAAACAGCATAACAGAGAAAGCAAACACTTATTGGCCACTTTATTATTTACAGCTACTTTGCATGTATGCTCATTTTCCACTTAATCAGGTCCACTTTGTAGTTCTACAATTACAGACTGTAGTTCATCTGTTTCTCTGCATAATTTGTTAGCCCCCTTTCAGCCTGTTCTTCAATGATCAGGACCCCCACATAGCAGGTATTATTTGGGTGGTGGGTCATTCTCAGCACTGCAGTGACACTGACGTGGTGATGGCATGTTAGTGTGTGACGAAGCAGTGCTGCTGGAGTTTTTAAACACCTCAGTGTCACTGCTGGACTGAGAATAGTCCACCAACAAAAACTATCCAACCAACAGCGTCCTGTGTCCACTGATGAAGAATATAGTGTGACTAACAAACTGTGCATCAACAGATGAGTTTACGTCTCTGACTTTACATTTGCGAAGACAAGCAAGGTAGGAGTGTCTAGAGTAGACAGGATTTAAAAACTCCAGCAGCACTGCTGTGTCTGATCCACTCGCATCAGCATAACACTAAGACTAATACACCACCATCATGTCAATATCACTGCAGTGTTGAGATGGAACCACCATCCAAAGAATACCTACTCTGTGGTCCTGTGGTGTACTGGTCATTCATGAATTGAGTAAAGTGGTAAACAAATTATGCAAAGAAAAAGATGGTCTACAATCTCTATTACATTGCCTGCAGTCTCATGGTTCCAATGATGCACAAATTCCAGATGGAGGGCAGGAAGTGAAAAGCTGAATGAACGAGATGGAGGCAAGCCTTTTTTAGTTCAGACGATATTACGAGAGAAAGGTATAAACAGAAAATTACAACGTATGTTGGGCGTGATCCTCAGGCAGCAGATATGAGCAACTTGTATGTTCACCTGTCTTTCGTGTAACTGTCAACCCTGATTTATGTGACGTATGCAAACAGGCTTAACTAACCCAGTTAAGTGTATAAAAAGTAGTCAGTGAATGTATAAAGAACTTGTGTGGGAGAGAGAGATGTAGACAGAGAATGAACACCTAACCTCTACCCGATAATGTTAAATATACTCGGCTCTTAACAGATGTGGAGGTGTCTGGTCAATTCCTTTGTCACCTGCAGCTTGTGATTGTGGATTCTTCATGGTGGCATCTAAAATGAAGAAAAAGGTGAGCAAAATTCATCAAATGACCAAATTCTTATTTTACCACAATCTTCCATAAACGTGTAATTACTTTTGCAAAAAATAGAAGAATATATAAATAACTAATAAACATCTTTCGTTATTACAGTCAGTCAATAGTCAATCATGAGAGAGGGAAAGACAGACATACTCGTGTTGACAAATGGTTAAAATATAAAATATTCAATCAAATACAGACATACTTACCTTGGGCGATTAAACTGGCACAAAAATGAGTTAAATCAAATCTATAAGCCAGATGAAAAAGAAAGGTAAAGAAAAGTTGTTTTCTTACTTGAAAGATGCTGTTGGTAGATGAAGGGCATGCAGGTGATTTCAAGAAGAGAAGATAAAGTTACTAGGTTAAGCTACATGACAATTAAGAGAGTGAAAGAAGGAGATTTCAAAAACATTAGTCTGGCTGATGCAGAGATTTCTTGTACTAACATTAAATGTTTTTATTCCACTTACTATACATAAATTAATATTCTCATAAAGAAGATGTTCAAACGCCAGTTTATACAACAGATTCTGAATTTCCAAAAGCTGAACACTGACCTAATGTTAATTGTTTGATGTCTTCGAATTCAAGCGTGTAAAACCATAGGACAGAAAGTAACCAAGTTCTAGCTCAGATCAGTTAGGATAATGAACAAAGGAGAATTCTACCAATTTTTCAAAATTCCTGAATAATTCTGTCCATGAGATGTAAACATGGCTGCAGAGTCATTGAGAGTGGTTTGATATGAAATGATTAATTGTGGAGAAAGGTACCGACTCTTTATTTCTTCTTTATAATGGTGGTGACAGGAAACAGGGGTCACCATATCTGGCACACAAATATAGCCATTTTATTTACTATCCAGAACCACCTGTGATGTGAACCTACACATGTTATTTGTGTTATGTTGTTGACAGTAAAATAGTCATAAATCTGGAAAAATAGTTTTCTATGGGAAATGTACCCCTCCACCATAAATGAATTTAAATAAATAGATTAAAAAACATTAAGTCAAAACTACCATTAAACAATGTTTCAGGCTCACACAGCTCATATCTGACCATTTCATATAATTACTTTCTGTGAGAGAGCTTTCAGAGACATAAAATTCTTCAGACGTCTGGTTCTTAACACCTCCACTGTTAACATTTCTGAATCGTATGTTTCTCTTGAACTGGGCATTTAACACCAAACCACTCTGAATGACTTTGTCAACATCGCAACCATTTAATTATGTAGAAATTTTTTAATTGGTGGAGTTGCCCTTTAAATTTTAACTAACTGAAGCACCAGTCACTGACCGTCTCTCCCTCCAAAGATTTCTGCTTTAGCTATCTTCTAAACTCGTGTGAGTGAAGCACCAAACCTGATCTGTGTTGTGAAATGATTAGCCTGCTAGGCAGCAAAGTAACAGCCCCGCACACCACAAAACCTGATTAGTTTCTGCTTTACGGACACCCCAGCACCATTCACTCAAATTCACTCGCTCAAATTTTAGCACAAATTAGCCGGAATCAAACCAGAAGCCTGCTAACATTAGTTAAACTTGAGCTAACTTAGATAGCAAATCACAGTTTATTAGATTTGGAACATGAATTTGACAACATCGTCCCAATTTCAAAATGGTAATTTAAAAAAGTAGCTTTTAATTGACTTTATAATTTCTAATATTATTTTAAGAGCAAACAATAAAAAAACTGTGACCCGCTAGCTTAGCATAGCAAACACCGGCTAACTAGCTAGCAGTTAGCAAGTATTCACAAATTATAGGATCAGGTTTAAGTAAATGTCCAATTGAAAATTGTTGGTACTCAAATAAATCAAGCATTACTCACCAAAACTCAGAAGTGGCTCTAAACACTGTTCCGGCTCAGCTGAACATTGGTCACTAAACCTGTATTGTGGTGTTCTGACATTTTTAAAATGTAAATTGCTTCTGATTGAATAAATAGGAAAGTTTTTTCTTAAATGCTGTTTTGCATGTCTGCAGCCCCATGAAATGGTCCAGTAAAGTAATACTATAGTTAGTAGTACAGTTAATATTACTACCTATAACTACCTTGTTATAGGTAGTAACATTATAGTTATTCTGTAATAGAATAGTAGAATAACTCACAGCGCTTTGACATTTGATGCCTAAGTAGCTTTGTACTTGCTAAAAGTACCTGAAATAAAAATTATATATCAAGAAAAAATATAAATTGGAAGTGTACTTTTTTACTTTTTTTCAAGTAATTATACACTACAGCCATGAGCTCTCTTCAGGGTCTGGCATGTTGGAGGTCTCCCTTTTGTATTTCTGTGTTCTATAAGGCTGATAATTAGCTTAAAGTGATGACCATTCTTGGTAAACTGAATAATTGCAGATTATCCCACATGACATATAACTGACCTTTAAGACATTCAAGCTTGTAGCTTACATTAGTACAACATTTATTCTAGCTAGACTAGATGATGTTGCTTCCGTAGAAACGTTGTTGTTGCGCATAGTAGGTTGCTGCAATGTATCGGCCCACTCTGATTAAAAAAATACTGTCAAATTTGGAAACCCATCAAATTTGTAGCTTTATTTAAACCATATTACCTGCCTGCTGTATGTGTGTTTACCATGGACAGTGATTTTGATGTTATAAGTTTTTCAAATCTGAACTTCTTTGTGTTCCTACTCTTTGTGCACAGTAAAGTAACTATGCAAAATAAACATGCTGAGGTACTTTGTACAGAATTTTGCTGACCTACATGGCCAAAAATTTGTATAGTATTCACTGTTCCATTCACTTGCCTCAATGTGTTTCATTTTCCATTTTCCTGTAAGAAATTTTTAAAATGGTAAATGGCAAAAAAAGTACTGTAAAATTTAGAAACCCATCAAATTTATAGCTTTATTTAAAACAGCTCAGCAGCCCGTTCATTGGGTCATAGTGTTTTAGTGTTTGAGTAAGATTTACAAAACAATGTTTTACATATGATTTTAATTTAAAGGATGAGTTTGCGACTCACTTTTCTTTTGCAGGAGTATGCAAATAAAATCAATGTAGTACAGTGTTTCTAGAAAAGTTATGAAAAATTCTTCAGTCTTTCTGTAGCTGAAAAAACACAAGGGGTTAAAAGTTTTTAAAAAATGTATTTTTAGTTAGTTAGTTTAACTTAGTTTACCTCCAGTTTAACTTAGTTACTTAGTTAGTTAGTTTAACTTAGTTTACCTCCATTAAGTGTCTGTCTGCTATGTAAAAGTTCTTGTGCTTTCTTACTGCGTACCTTAGGATTGTTCCATGATGTTTCCAGAGACGTCCTTTTTATAACAGCTGTATTATAAGTAAGCTATGAGTCAGTGGTTTTTCTGTTCTCTTCTACAAGGAAATATGTTGAAATTACTGTCTGTGGTAACCTACAGTACAAAACAGATGCAGCGGATAGAGACTCACTCCATTAGCAGAAGTAAGACATAATCATTCACTGAATCAAACATCATTGTGGAGTTGAAATTAACTGAAAACCAATGAATGTGCCAAGTCCACAAGCCATTGCAACAGTTGTTGACTTCCTTTCTGAGCCAAACCTCGCATTTCCTATGTCTGACTCACTCACTAAACCACGGCCAGCATAATGGACTGTCCTCTGTCATATTTGTCTAGAAACAAAATCTGAGTGCTCAGAAGGTGCTAGGGTTAGCGGACATCCAGGGCAAGGCCCAGGAGTCAGGATTTTATTTATGTATTTTTTATTTATTTATTTATTTTCTGATTTTAGCAGTTTCTGCAGTGTCTCTTTCTAACACTCTGTATTCAACTCATGAAGACATTGCTAATTAGCTAATAATCTGCATTGCTTTGGCCCACCAGGACTGGAATCTATAAGTGTTATATAAATGTCTAGAGTGTTATGTGCAATAAAAATAGTCAGTTGATTCTAAGCATCTTGTTTGCAGGCTCGTTACCTTTTATATGTCTTTGGACATGTTTAAGAAAATAAAGACTGATTAAAAAAAATCAAAAATAAAAACACTAATGCAGTTTAGAGTACTGCCTCATTACCTCAGATAACAAAAAGTTTCCTGTGCCTAACATTACAGCAGTGTTGTGCTTGTCTGAGAAGACACTCAAACTGTCCCACGTAAGTGGGGTAAGCGTTTTATCCACTCTCCTATTCAGTTACTTACAACACATATGAACACCTACACTATTGTTTTGTACTAGCCTGTAAACATACTTTGAATGACATGACTGTTTTCAGCCCCGTGTAGTTTAACATGTACCAACCAGTGGTGAATACTTTCACAACAAACCTGCATCTCTATAAAGAACTTTCTAAATGAGTAATGAGTAAGGATGAGTAACTCCAACTCCAACTCCATCTATCCATTTTTCAGCCTTCTAGATAATATTCATTTGAAAAACACAACATTTTAAAGAATGGTTCTAGTGATTACTCCTACATTTCTCAGAGTCCATTTGTGCTGCTTCAGCTTAGTGGGGGCTGTGTATGGACTACATTGCATGCCATGCATCCACATGTAACATAAGTTTATTGTGAAACTAATAAATGCCTTTACTCTGTCACTATGCCAAATTGATGATTTGACGAACTAGCTTGTTGGAAAGGTAGCCTCCTATGGCAGTGCTATGTTGAAATTCATTGAGACACTCTTAATATGAACCATTCTACTGCCAATATTTGCCTATGAGGACTGCTTGATTTTGTGCATCTGGTAGAAGCCAGGCTGAACTAGCCAAGCCCACTAATTATAAGAGGTGGGAGCCACAACATACCTTTGACCTTCAGCCAGGTAATGTATCATCCCATATGCTTGTAAACATTAGTAAGACTTTATGAAACCTCACTCAACAAGCATTTTTTTCCATCCAAATTTTAAAGCAACAGCGGGTTCTGATTTAAAGATTTTCTTACCAAAGACTTTTTTCTTTGTTTTATCTTCTGATTCAAAATATCCACTCAAAATTTGATTCAGTATGGTTATATGATTCAAAATATATCACACACTAAAAATCTACACAATGTATAAAGGCCTAACACTGTCGCAATTAACCCTGTCTCCACAGAACATTAATTTTTTTTCACTGGATGATGTCACATAAACAAACAATTTAGCCAGGATATCTGGTAGATTAAATGATGTAAAAGAAAGCTGTAACTGTAAAACTGAGGCCCTGATTTACAATACCAAATAACGAGTGCTCATTTATGCGTGTAGTGCAGTAGATTGCCCGAACAGGTAGTGGGTGTTTTGCGGGTGACATACAAAGGATAATTATGCGAATGACAACACGTGTAAAAACAGTGTGATAATCAGGCTTTTCTTGTGCGTACTGTTCATAATAGCAAGATCACAAGTCCAGATCTCAAAGAGGTCAGTTAAAATAAAGATATATAAAAGGGATATAGCCAAAAAAAGTAAACAGTGTGGTAAAGCCAAAAATAATGAGGGGGGAAGCTATAGGCTACTTTTTAACAGCTTATACAAATTCTAATTTATGAAGTGTTTGAAGAATAATTGAACCAACAAAACTATTACTGTTGTATTGAAAACGTAATCATACATGAATGTGTGGCCTGGGTTGGACCTCAACTGAAAATGAAAAATTAATTCAGACAATTCTTTTAGAAAATGGATATACGAATTTAAAACATATTTAAATTAGATTTTTTTAACCAAACTATTCTTCTCAGAATTTATTATTTTAATAATTAAATTGCCCAATTGAGTGGGTGGAGAGTGGAATCGTTGTTCCATTTAAACCTGTGCTAATTTGTTTTGGTGGTGTTGTAATGAGAGTATTTAATTAGGTTGTTTGTGAATTTAATCTTCATCTAACCAATGTCTTATTTTTTTCTTTGTTCCATAGATGACCATATTTCAGCTTTTCATTTACCTGGGAGGAACCACATTACCCTTTGTGAAATGTTTTAGTGATGGCAATTTTGATGGCAGTCAAGATGTGTGTCAGTCAATGGCAGTTAATCATGATGACCTCTCCAGTCAGAATCCAGGATTAGCTCCTTTTACAGTTGATCCTGATAATGTCATTGTCACAGAATCAGATTTGGGAGCAGCCATTAAAGGTGAGTCTCTTTTTCAGTCTCTTTATAAATCACACTTGCAGTCTTTTATTTTATCCAGCCAAAATAAATTGATTGAATAGTGATACACTCTCTTTATTTTCTCTCACTCTCAATAAGGCCTCTTCATAAGGTGTTGTGGTTCTTTAAAATCCGTATAGATTTTTTAATATGAAATTCTAGGAGAAAAACTTGCAGCCTTGGAAAAATAGTATGTGATGGCCATATTTTTGTTTATTGCTTTTACAATTTTGAAGGACTGAATGAATGTGATATTTTGTTCTCATTGCTTTGCATTGTATGAGGCAACACATCTGGCTGTTACCAGAACAAAAGCAGAGTAACACAACAAGTATTCAGTGAATACATTTGATATATTGGAACTTAGATTTCTTAAAAAATGTAAATCTATTATTGCTAAAGTATCCCTCACAGCTAATTCAGTGAGTCAACCTTTCCGTGGCTTCATGTTGGAGGCAAGAGAAACTAACGACGGTCCACCTGTGGGTGTGTTCTCTTTGTTGGACTCAGCCATCAGCAGACTCCAGAGTTGTAACGGCGTTGCTGTGAGTGTCCTATAGAGCTATGTATTGTCAACAACTTGATGATATGACATGTATCGTGATACAATACAATACAGTGACAAAATACACATTTTGAACACAGTGAACCTATTTTCCCAGAGTCCTATAGGACACAGAGAACACAGATACACTCCCTGTTAAACAATCAACTAATACATATATGTTCACAGGGTTCTATGTACCAAGGGCTCTGTGTTCCCAGAGTTCTATACATGATACATCATAATTCAATATGTTACATTAAGGGAACCTGTGAAAGGATCCCTAAGATCATGGTTGACATCACAAGAGTCATTAAAGGTCAAACAGGGAAGATAAGGGAGCTGATTTTTCAAAAGGACCATGCTTTGCCTCAGCAATTAGGCTAGCCTCAGTGAGCTGATCAGCTAGCTAAGTCAACTTTGAACCTGTTTACACTTTGCATTAACATGTTTTGTTTCTGGATGGTATCTGGATTAACTTTGGTCAGATTCCATTTACACTTTTGACTAAAATGTGTCTCCAGTGTGACCAGATGAGATCCGATTGCACTTTTCCTGCGTAAAAAACACATCAGCACATGTGTTGTTTACATTGTACCTTGGTTTATTCTTTTCTTTGTTAAAGTACTACTGGACAAGCTTGACTTGGAGGGTTCATCATCTTGGAGTGCATGAAAGCTTTTGGTTTGGGAATAATTTCAGCTTCAGGTGTCCTCCATCATTAGTTTCCTTGTTTAAAATCTCACCTGCTCGTCAGCACTCAGCAGTCACATTTCTGCTCACGGAATTGTATACAGATAACAAAAATGCATTATAATTGATTTGAATGCAGTCAAGATCTGTCTCTGGCCAACTTCTAACGTGATTTGATCTGATCATAATGCGTCCAGGGGGTGTCTACACCTGGCTTTTCATGTGGTCAAGTGACACCAGAAAGTCACCAAAACCGCATATTAATGAAAAATGTGAACAGGCCTTAAACATAAGATTGTATAAGAGTAAAAAAGAGCAGGTCAACTGAAATGGAGGGTAGATGTTGTAGATCAAAGTGCTCAAAGATTCCATTCTTAGCGGGAATGCAACTTTAATAACATTTTACAATGTTGTTACTAGTGTGAAATTCAAACAACATTCTGACTAACACATTTAAAATACCTTCTCATTCTTATTCACTGAAATGTTCAGTCAAAGTGTGTTTAAATAAGAGAGTCTGTTTGGAAGCAGCATGTAGACATACATAAACACAAATTCAGATTTTAATTACTGAACATATAACATCAGAATATGTACATTTGTAAATATACTTGCGGTATCGATGGTACTTTACATTACAAAGAGGAAACACAGGTTCTGGGAACATAGGGTTGTTTTCTAGCAGTTTCAATGAGAAGCTAAAGGGCTAACAGAACATAGAACCCTGGGAACATATAGCTGACCCTTTTAACAGCACCACAAACATGTAACCGATTTAAATATATCTCTTCCTTTATCCAGGATACAGCTGTTACACAAACCAATAACCAAGATAAAACTGAAGTAAGGGTCTCATGGAGAGCTCTTAAGCCTGGGCGATACTTCTTCAGGTATCAAGAAACATCATGTAAAATTAATTACTAACTGTTTTTATTACTCTGCCAGTACAGTGGGTGAAAAAAAAAGATATGTGCATTTGTAAAAAAATGCCAGCTGTTATAAATTTTGTTCATTGTGATTACTGTCATTCATATGACTTTTCAGAGCTACGTTTGTTGCGGACTTCGAGAACTTTTGGGCTAGAAAGGAGATATCCACACCTACAACAACCACAACGCCTACAACAACCACAACGCTTACAACAACCACAACACTTACAACAACCACAACACCTACAACAACCACAGCGCCTACAACAACCACAACGCTTACAACAACCACAATGCCTACAACAACCACAACACCTACAACAACCACAGCGCCTACAACAACCAAAACACCTACAACAACCAAAACACCTACAACAACCAAAACACCTGCAGCAACCAAAACACCTACAACGTCTACAACATCTACCACAACATCAACATCTTTAACACCCTTTATAACAGAAGGCAGTACGTCAACACTCACCACTGTTACTTCTGTACTCATCTCCATGCCTCAACCAAATATATATGTAATATATATGTAATTTTTTTCCTCAAGTCATTTTGGGCCAACAAAAATGGAGATACTGGGTTTTGTTCTGACAGCAGCGACATATTACATTGGTCCATTTATTTTGCACAAAACACATATGGAAAGATATGTACCGCTCCTTTACTGTTAGCTACATGAGTAGGATGATGGGTAATGGTGAAATACCTCTGGACATTTTTAAAGCTTTTTTAAAGGTGCAGTATACATCTATGATTTACTGATTTACTGATTCATCTAATCAGCTGTGTATTAGTATGTATGATTTTTGAAATGTTCAGTACAACCCAGTGACGTGTATTAATTCCCTAAGTTTATATATTCACTGGGAAAAAGGCACATTTGTAGGAAGAAGTTAAAGATTGACTTGTTTAGGCTTATTTGCACAACACATTATGTTTATGTTTATATATGATAAGGTGTAGTTATGCAGTTTCCATGACCTTTGGTGCATCTCTTATTTCTTACAGGCAGTACTTCAGCCAAATCAGACCTATCTGTGGTAAGCAGATAAATGTTTTTTTTAAACACGTATATGGTTTCTTGTTTGTTTTCCTTTGTTGTTTGCTTTTTATGCTTATGCATTTTGCTAAAAGATTCTAATAATTTATGATGCTTGGGTGCATAGAATTTTATTATTTTATTTTTTTTGCAAATGCAGTGCTTTCATGTTACATAAGATTCTGCTCTGTGCATGATCAGCAAATAATGCATGTGCTACAGCTAGCAAACCTTTGCGGTGCGTTAGCGCAAGTATGCATTTATCCTTCCTGATGTTTTAAAACATCACAGAGTCTCCAACCAATGGACGTATTTCACTCAACTTTGCTGGAATTACCAAAGTGCTTTCTGACGCAGGTGCATTCAGGGACAGTGTACTAATGGAAATGCTATTAGAGAGAATTAACAGAAAGAGAGACTCTGTTTCCAACTGCTGTTAAAATGTATCAACAGTAAAAGGACAGTTAAAAGCCAGCCAGGTCTGAGGGCTGTGTCTCAGTGAGCTACATATTAGGAGGAGAAAAAATCTGGTCACATTATGGACAACAGAGTTTTGATACTAGCTGTGAAAGACTGAGAGGTGTTTAAATGACAACCTGATCTTCCTGTGCTGTGACTGTGGCTTTCAAATAGTATGCATGCAAAGCTCAGCCTTGCATTCCTGCAGCCTTGTCTGTTCGTCATGCTTGTTCATGTCCAGCATGGGGTGAAATCTCAAAAAATGTTAAAATCTAAATAAGAGCTTTTTTACTGTTTTTATTGTTTTGTTTTATAAACATACAAATCATTTTGATGTTTACATTTGTAGTAGATAATTAGTAAACATAGTAATAGACTTAATACAACAAACATTTTTTTCTATATGGCAGGCTGCATACTGTTGAAAACTATTTCTAGAAAATGCACTATAATTTCCCAACCACTGTAAAGATATTTTAAATTTTACTTAAACACACACACACACACACACACACACACACACACACACACACACACACAAACGCACATACGTATACATACACTTTTATTTTTCACGCTGAATGTTTTCAAATTTATTTTGCAAATAAATAGAACTAGAAATAAAAGTTCATTGAAATATCATATTAAATGTCATATTAAAAAAAATTGACCAAGTATGTTGGATAAACTTCTACAGTGTGACAGAACATTAAGTTGCTTATCTGTGTGTGTGTGTGTGTATGTGTGTGTGTGTGTGTTGTAGTGTAAGTCTGGGAGTGACTGGTTTTTAATCCTGCTGTTGGCCAGCTATCTGTCTCTTGTTGAGGGTTTCCCTTTCCTGATGGTACACAGAAAGCGAAGAAATGTTGTTGTGATACAGGTAAGATGCCTGAAGGACCTGAGCAATATTTTTTCAACTTCAATTTTAGGAACATACTGTTTGAATTCAGTGTATAATCCAGATGACAATGCTTTATCCAAACATTTAAACCCAAATGATTTGTCCCAGTTTAACTGTTAAAAAATTACAGCTTAAGATGATCCATTCAAACAAATGAAAAATTTATACACATGACAGTGATCATATCGAATGACAGCTTAATCTTTTCACAGGTCTCCTCTGTTCTTTCTTCACTGTTTTCATTAGTGGCTTTCATCATCTTGTTGATACTCACTGAACTGGTAAGAATGACTCTCAGATCTGTTAGTGTTCGACGTCAGACTACAGACTTCATTAGTTCTTAAATTATTTGTCTCATTTCACAGCCACCTCATCACTACCAGTACTGTACACCAGTACTACCAATGCTAACAGTGTTTACATCAGGTGTTAGTTAAATTCCCACTTTGAAATATAGTCAAGAATTTATTGTTTTCATATCTGACTTGGGGTAATGATTGTCAGGTCATAAATTTCTAGGATCGCAGAGATATTTTTTTATTATTTGCAATTGAGTTGCTGGTCCTTTAAGCAGCACTGTCATCTCATGTAATGTAGTCTATTATTCTTTGATTGTAGTGATGGCTTCTACTGAAAATTCAGTGCAGTTCAACAGGTCTCTTTGTTTGTGTATGTGTAGGTTGCAGCCAAAGTTTTGACAGGACTGGCAGTGTTTCTGAGCCTGTGCCAAGTGATTGTGATATTTTTCTTTGGCGGACCAAGCCACGAGTTGTAAGTCATGTCTTGAACTCTTTCACTACTAGTCACTACAAGTTTCAGTGCACTGTAAAATTAAAAGATACAGCACCTTTCACTGGTTTAAAGAGGGTTAAAACAGTGCAGTGGTATGACATGGAAATATATGTTTAATTTCAAGATGGTGTAACAAAAGAGGGGATGAGTTTGTTAGGGCTTTTCCAGTAATCATTGTTTATAGCAGATACATAGTCAACACGGGATAATTCACAATCGAAAACTTAAGAAACAGGCAGGTTTGTCTTGTTACTGTTAATTTGCATGCCCATCCCTGTGCTGTCATTTTGATAGCTTTTTTAAACCAAATCCAAACTGCATGCTATCCTTCCATAGACATTCACTATTTCTCTATGTTTGCTTAGGCCTTCTGATTAAAAGGCAGATGTCAAAGTTAAAGGTTAACACCAAGTGCGCTCTGGCACTATACAGTCATGTGCAAAGGTTTTAACACCTCTGATCAAATGACATTGTTTGTTGATTTTCTAAGTGACAATAAATGAACACATCCTTTACAGAGAACAGATTGAAGCATTTTTATATTTAATATAAATTGAGCACCTTTGTATTGGCCACATTTAACATGTTTTTTCTCCAATATGTGTATTTGGGTGTGCGGCACCCAAACTTGTTCATATGACTCTAACTGAAAGTAGCTAATCAATATAAATCACAGTTCAACCAGCTGCCCCAAAACATTTCTTTACTTCACTTAAAACTGATATAATTTACATAATAAAACATTCATTAAAATAGTCATAAATAATAATATGTTTCTAAAGATAAATTATCAATCATCTTTAATCCAAGAGCCTTGACTATACAGCAAATAGGATTTTTTTTCACTATTGCAATGCAGTGCTTCATCTGAGAGAGAGAGAGGGGTGGGGATATGTTAGTTTGTTTATCATGTTAATGTTTATCATTTAAACTGATGAAAAGTAAACCATGGACCTTGCACTCAAACATTTATTATACCTCTTACTTCCTTATACTAGGCCTCTGATTTCTGCATTGAATTCAGTTTATCATTAACTCACTGCCTTATTCTAAAGACTTTTTAGGTTGTTGCTTTTTCAAGTATGGCTTGCCGTTTAGTCTGGTGGCCACAAAGCTCAATTTTGGCCTCATCAGACCATAGAACCTTCTTCCAGCTGACTTCAGAGTTATCCAGTATGCCTTCTGGCAAACTATAGCAGAGAGTTTATGTGAGTTTTATTTAACAGTGGCTTTTTTGTCACTCTCCCTTAAAGCTATGAATGGTGAAGCATAGTTGTTGTATGCAGTCTCTCCAATCTCAGCCACTGAGGCTTGTAACTCTTCCAGAATTGTCAGAGGTTTTTTGGTGGCCTCCCTCACTAATCTCCTTCTTGCATGGCAACTCAGTTTTGTGGATGGCCTGATTGGCAGATTTACAGCTGTGAAATACTCTTTCCATTTCTTATTGACTGATTTAACTTACTCCAAGGGATATTCAGTGACTTTGTTTTTGTATTCATTCCCTGACTTCTGATTTTAATCACCTTGTCACAGAGTTGTTGGAGTGTTCTTTTCTCTTCTTAGTGTAGGTTATGCCATGATACTGACTCACCAGAAGTTGAACTGTCCATAAACAGGTGTACTTATACTACAATAACTTTGAACCCTCTCATTAAACTTTATGCCTACTGGCGGGCCCTGGACATTTAAGGGGTTAAATCACTTTGCAGAGGTGTGTTTTCACTTTGACACAAAAGAGTCTGTTTCTGTTGATCTGTGTAAAAACACATAAAATAAATCCACTGTGAATCACTGTTCTTTGATCATAAAACAAGAAAACATCCAAGGGGGTGAATACTTTTATATACAGTGTAGCTTGAATAATCTCCCTGGTGAAGCGTTTGTGATCCAGAACTAATCGTCCAACGGAAGGAACAGAGGCTATTACAGCAGCAAATGGGGGTGGGGGGCGTGGCAAACTCCCTATTAATACACTTAATATAAGAAGAAACGTTGGATGACTTTTGGGCGTTTAGTCTATATTACATTTTTATCAAATCTTTACCATTTCCATTCCAATTTTTCAGAAGGAGACACCTGTGCTGGGTCTTCGGACTGGTTGCATTTGCAAACATTTGTGTGACAAGTAAGAATACCTTATAGTTTTTAACATATTCATTTGTTTTCACCACTGCACACAGTTCCTTGGCTTGTGGACGTTCACTAAATTGTACTGCAGCCTGTAGTCTAAATAGATTAAACAAAGCAGCTCAAGCCAGGAGCAGTAATTTGGCTGTTAACTGTTACATCTCACAATCCAAAAATGATGTGTCTTTCTCTCCTCTTTCTTTGCTCCTCTTCCCAGCGGCTGCAATATTTGTTGGGCTTGTGAAGTCTAAGATCTGTACATGGCTACTCATTGTGATGGCAGCATATCTGGCATTTGATTTGCTGTTCAACATGCTGTACTCAGGTTTTACGTCCAAGAAGCCTGGACAAATCAGTCAGAGGGTAAGATGGACGTTTCATTGCCCACCAAATCCTGTCATGCATATACTGGAATGTGACAATCTATATGCATACTGTGGTGTAAAATACTGTGATGTGTGGGCAAAAGGTGCACTTTACAACACTATGATAAATTTTGTTTAGCTTATCAATTTTCTGCTTCATCAAGATCATTCCTCTTACTGAAAAGTTTAACTTTGCAATAATATGTGTTTGTTCTTCTTTTTGCCTTTTTCAGATTTCTTACAGGTCCATGTGCCTTGTCATCTCAACACTGGTGAATGTAGCATTTTCAGTAGCACTTATCATTGGAATATTTTTGTGCAAATGCGGTACAGTAACAGAGCAGAGTAGTAGAAATACATGATTGCTACCTAAGAGACTTTGATTCCATTATATTTTACTGTTTTACTTTCTTGTTTGTTTTCACCTTCATTAAGTCTTGGCTATTTTGCATCCATTATTATGACTTTTGTGTAGGCAGTGCATCTTGTGTATTGTGGGAATATGTCATACAAAATATCTGGATGACAAAATGTAAATTCACAAAATAATGCATTCATAACAGATCGTTCTTCAGCAAACTGTGCATTCCTTGGGATGACGTATGGCTAGATGCCAGAAAACGCTACTGAATAACCACTGCTAAAACAACATCCGACTCATTAGAATAGAGGGAATAAAGAGGTATTAGATCTAGTAGTCAAAATGAATGCTAATGGTCTTATGAAGTAAAAACACCCAGGACTTAGTGCTCATAACAATACCATACTAAAATATGCACTAATTTAGTAGATGTCAGGGAACAGTAGGTATTGGGGTTTATTTTATCAAACTCAGAACAGTCAAACTGACCATCTTGGCCTTTCAAGTGTAAAAGCTACATGACATGATACGCCTGCATTTTGTTTGTGCCTGCTGGAGGAATCACCAAATGATCAAGCTATTGCACTGAGTTTCGACGTTCACCTGTGGTTTCGAGTTTAGCCCTTGCGTGTTGTTCATGTTTTTGTTACTCAGTATTCTGGTGGACCCACCGCATTATTGTTTTTTTTTAATCAATACAGCCATAACAATTAATGTAAAAATAGCAGATGTTTAAAATATCACAAGTGGGCAGTGGAGGGTTCTCCTTTAGCAGCTGTAGCCAGTCAGCAGCCTGTCCATGTTGTCCACCCTCACACACACACACACACACATATACAAACACATACACAGACACACACACTAACAGCAGGCCATGTAGGAGGAGAACAGCCACAGGGACACAGCACCTCCACACTTTTACTCCCCGTGCGTTCACCCGAACATCACCTGTAATATAAATGTGTAGGGGGTGTACAGTGTGAAGTCATTGAAAGTGTGTTATTTTATATGTTCTTCACAGAAAATGAGCAAAGGCCAAGGAATCTGAGGTTGAAATAATAATAAATTGCCTAATTTTTTCTTTTGGTAAACATTGAAAATGGGTCCCACAGACACAAACACCACACAAGGGTTAAACCAGGTAACAGTGACTTAATTTTTCACAGTCACTACATTTCCTCCATTTGGTCACACTTTTCTTTCTCTCATTAAACTGTGTTTGGACTGGTTCCTTGCGGTTCTTCCGTTTCCTCATTTCCATGGAACTCCATTTCCAACCCTCCTTCCATTGTCCAATGTAAGGTGTGCACAAAACAAACATTCTCAGTGTTCTAGTGCTGCATGCAGCTAAGCACACCCTTGTCTCCTTGGGTGTAGATGTGAATCATCAATGCATTCCACCTGCTTAGACTATTTTGGTTTATGTCACTCTGGGCAAGTATAGGTTTGAGCTCCTGGCTAAGTGACAGCAAAGATTCTCGGCAGTTACTGCCTGTAATGATGTATTAGATGTGGAATGTAAAAAAAAAACAGTCCTGCTTCAATAAATGTCTTGAGTGTTAACTGCCTTTTATCCAATGACATTACAAATCTCTTTTACTTCACTCTCTTAATATTAACTAAGAGACCTCTGTACAATGTTTGATATGACTATGTAAATGTAAAGGACTAGCAGATTTTTGTCTTTTTGGGTTGAATTTCATTCTGTTCTGTTGGACCAGCACCTGGGTTGATTTGCTCTCATTTTCAAGGTTTACAGATCACAAAAAAGAAAAGAATAGCATCTAACAAACCTCAGTTTCTACGCAGATAGGTGAGATACTAGGACATTCCAGGGTTTTTTGTTTGTTTGTTTGTTTTTTTGTCTGATACTTTTTCTATTTCTACTTCACTGTATCTTATTTGCATTCTTAGCACAATGTACACAGCTTGCATCTTATGGATTTTTGTTTTCAAACTCAAAGGATTTGTAGTTGTACATGTAACAGTAATTTGGAAGAGCTTTAGGATGTTTGAGACAATGGGTGAGATGAAAATTGTGACCCATCACCATAACCCTGCATTTTGTCATGCATGTTCATTTGACTCTGAAAGAAGACTGCGGTTGACCAGTTATCTCAAGTCATGTTGCAAACAGATTTGGTCACGCAAGTTTCTATTCTACGACATCTGGAAGATTCCACCCTTTTTTCTAGGAAGGCCACCGAGGTGCTCATTTAGTCTCTTGTCATCTCAAGACTGCATCAGCTCTCCTGGCTGGTCTTCCTGTGCATGCCATCAGGTCCTTGCAACTGATCCAGAATACAATACAACACCCGGTCTTCAGTCAGTTCACCTGTGTCACCAGATGCTTGCCTAAAAAGCCAAAAATGGACCAGCCTCTCCTTACCTGATGGTCAAATGATCAAAACTAGTTGCATGAATACAAAACGCATGGAATACAAGCATCAAGACTCTTCTTGGTCCTGGCATCCAGGTGGTGGAATGAACTTATATTTTTGCACTTGTCATAATGTCTTACTTCTGTGTTGTGTATTTTTTGATCTAGGTAACAGCACTGGCTCTTTTTTCTGGCAGTATTTTAGTTCAGGGGTACTTTGTAACTAGCTAGGATATATTCTCTACATTCTCTGAGTAAACAACAGTGCACTTTTGTAAGTAGATCTGAATCAGAGCGTCTGCTGTAAATATAAATAGAAAGCAGAGATTCTGCATTTCCTTATTAAAAAGTCCTTTTAAAGTTGTGATGTTTCATTTGACTATGTTTTCCTGCAGTGTGTCCAAGAAAAATCGATTATTAGATGCATCGCGATGTGAACGCGGACGATCCTGAATCGATTCACAAATGTCAAAAATCGATTTTCTAAATTTTAATTTATAACGTAATGTTGATGGAACGCAAAAGGCGGAACTTGGAAGTGCGCAAGTGCAGCGCCCGGACAGTCTGTGGCGGCACATAACAAAAACACAACGGCATGAGCGAGAAATCCGACCGGCTCCCTCTGCATTAAAAAGCCAGGTTAGGTCAGGAGTTGACAAACCATATGTTAAGTAGAGCCATTTTGTCAAACCACCTTGGAAGCCACAATATTTAGCTAATGTCCAATATGTCTCGGTATGTGCTTTGTACTAGTATATGCTAAAAATGCGGACTTGCTTTGCTCTGCTTTAAGCTTTAGCTCAGCTATAGCCGCTTTCCTCCCATCTCCGCTAGAAAACTTTTCTTTAAAAGTTAAATAGTTTCTTGTAAAATGTCTCTCAACATTCGACTGTTTTACGAGGCTGAAGTCGCTTCTCATTCTCCAGCTTCTCGTTTGAAGTTTCGCGTTCCATCTTAAATTGTGAGGCGCCAGAATGTAAATGCGGCATTATTTAAGGTGGAACGGGACAATTCTAACGAGAAGCTGACTTCATCTTCGCAACTTTTTAGTGTGCGACAGTCTCTCGTTGCAGATGAAAAGTACCAGTAAACCAACCGCGGAGCTTATAAATGCGAAAAAGTCTCCAAATGTTCGTTTTAAATCTCTTTTTGCCTTTTCGTTCGCTACTAGCCAGGCGAGACTGCATTGCTACGTGACTTGCACTCTGCACGCCAACCCACAGGGTTATAGGGTGGTGAATTAGCAGCGTTTAAGACCATCTGTTGTTCAAACTGTGTTGGAACGATCAGCAGAGCTTTATTTTGCTGCAAATGAGGATTAGCTATTTTATTTTTGTCAGGACAGTAAAAGAGCCGCATGGTGCCGACCCCTGAGCTAGCGTATGGAAGCACTTTGGCTTCTATGAAGTTGAAGGGAAAAGGAACCTAGACAAGAGCCACACTATATCCAAGTTGTGTCACCCTAAACTAAAATATTTTGGAAACGACAAACACGAGAAACCATATTACATGTTTCCACCCGTTTTCCGTCCGGATGTACAACCAGAGCACTATCGAGCAAGCGATGTCAAAACTTCCACCCAACTCGGAGGCGAATTACAAACTCTATCGCAACTTTTATTACCGATTTGCCTCCGTTCTCAGTCCTTGAGAACCAGGGCTTTCGCGCTATGTTGCTCACTTTAGAGCCGAGATACAGCGACCCGTCTCAAAGATATTTTACTGACACAGCGACCCCCCCGCCCCACTCTCTACCACGAGACCAAAGCCGAAGTTATAGAATCACTAAAGAAATAGCTGTAATCTGCTGCGTGGACATTCATTGCCACTGGATCTTATTTCACCGTAACCGCATTTTATCACAGATGAGTGGCAGCAGCGTCTCATGTTCTCCAAACGAGAGCAGTGAATGAGAGCCTTCCAGTTCACTTGCCACATCACTTCCATTTGATTTATTAATAAAGATATTGGAAGTAAATTCATTATGGATCATTACAAATACTTTGCTTTGAAAGTACCAACTCCTCACAGAGTGAGAAAAAAAATCTTGTATAGAAAAAAAGATGCATCAAGATGCCTCGATAATCGTTTTATAATCGCATCGCAGCCTCTGAACCGTAAACGAATCAAATCGTGAGGTGCCTAGAGATTCCATCCCATCCCATCCCATACTCATCAAAGTCTCACTTTTATTTTTTTTAACAGAGCTGAATTTATGTTCAGCTAATAACTATGAATAATCACATAACAGGCAAATGTGTTTGTTTAAAGAAATTCTTTGAAATGTGGAATGTGTCATGTGTTCCTCTACAAACAGAGTTGCCCGATTGCTTGTATAGGTTCTAGCTGAAAAATGTTCAAAACCTGCCAAGATGCATTAAAAAACACAAAAACATGCCTCAGTCTAAGAGTCTCAGTCTAAAATTTAATCACAAATGAAATACAGCATTTAGCAAACATGGCATAAATAGTAAGGTTCTGGGTAAGTTATCTGCTGGTAAAAAAATTGCACAGTGTGTAACATGTTGCTGGAAACTGTAATGTCTCAATATAAAAGCTCCTCTTAAAAAAGCATGACATAGCACTTCAGAATAAAAGCGCTGTGGGGGACCATTTTTATAATTCTCTTATGCTTCTCACCACCATCGGCAAATAGCTATCTCCAAATGACTAACTTTACAGGAAAGAGCAAAAACTTTTTTAATGTTACACACTGAATTTCAGACTTTGGGACACATTTACTTCAAAATAATGAGCTCTAACTGCTCTCCATGTGGCCATGAGGGGCAGGGAAGCAGTCTCACTTCCTGCTCTAAAATGCAGGGGTGTGGCTAAAATAAGGCTCTGTCCATGGACTAAAGCTCTATGTTTTGGTAGTGACATGAAAATGTGGGGCAGCAGTTTTTTTTTTTCAAATGAAACTTTTAACTTCACTTTCAGCTTCAACTGGACTTCAACTTGAAATAAAAAATATTGTTTAAAAACAGCAGAAAAAAGTATTATTTTCAGTACTTAAAATTTATGAGTTAGGGTTTGAGACAGCCACCTCCTAATGGAGAGTACCATTTAAATGATGACTTTGTATGTATTTAGCTTATTACTATCTAAATAACATAATCCTTGTAAATATTTTAAGGTCTAAATACCGTTTTTTTTAGTGGGCCTGCAGTTTGAAGTAATGCTGTAGACTGGTCTGTATAGATTTTAAATTAAAGAATAAATATAGATATTGAAATATAGATATTAAAATATCCTAAGTTCATGTACTGGAATCTTAATGGAGAAAAACCTGATTAATGCATCACTAGTACAAATAGCAATCTAGTTTTTGAAAAATGTTGTATGCAAATC